CGAGCAGTACTTCTGATCATGTTTGCTGTCTGTTGCTCTGATAAATGCCTTTTTTGACAAGGAATGATGGTACACACTTCTATTGGCAGGAAACGGTCCCTTTTTTGGCCAACTTGTAAGCAGGGTAGGTGAGGATATCTGAAATTGAGAGAGTATGGTTTGATGCATTTTATTTGTTTTTAGATACTAATTGTCTTCTTTTCTCTCTACAGTTATATGTACAGAATATATACACAATACAGTGCGTTGTTATTTGATCCAGGTCATCGTGACCATCGCAACGTGTAACCTCCACGTTTGAATCCCTGACCTTTTGCTTCAGAGTTTCACGGCCACGAACATGTAATGTATTCTAAGACTTAACATGCGTTTCTACGCACCGCGGCGTCTCTACGTTTCGTTTTGAAATTTTCTGTACAAACTTTCTTCACGAACTTCGCGAACTACTAGCACACTAACTAACAGAAAAAGCAAAGTCAAAACAAGTGTCGCGTGCACGCAAAACTTGTTACTGACCTTTGTCGAATTCTATGCAAGTTATGTTCCTTTAAACTTGTTCAATTCTTCGAATTCAAGTTCTTAAATCGTAATTTAAGCCGCGTACACACGATCGAGTATATCGCTTATTTTGTAATTTTTAATTTGATTGAATGTAACTCATCTGTTTCTTTACAATAAACTGGTTTAATTAAAAATAATTTGATCTCCTTCTACAACTCGTAACTTATTATTATTATTCACCAGTTAAAAAAGTAACTGCATAATACCTTAAATGCAACTTGTATGTATCCTTAAAATACTGTGCAACAGTTGTTTTGCTTTTGCGACCAGTTGCTCCATCCTCAACATCAAACTGTAGCTTTTCTGCAGAAACACTTGATACTCCCCACACGGTGTACTTTCTCTTATAGGCTGCATGAGAAACTTGTATACGGATCCCTGAAGGACAAAAAAACTTAGGTATTAGTGCAATTATTTATACACAGACCCTAAACAACGGTCATGCCCCTTTAAAAACCTCATGTCTTCTTACTCCAAAGTGAAATATGTCTCAGAGGAACTTTCTAAAGTTCTAGAACGTCCTGCCCCCAAGTATGTACATGGTGTATATTCATTATGTTTTCAGCACTGATATATAATCTAAGCAAGCGAATATTTAAGTTAATAGCCGACGTTTCGGCGTCATCGTGACACCATTCTCAAGGCAAAATGAATAAACGGTCCGCAATGCGTACTTGTGGGCTCATGGCTAGTGTTGTTCCATTGGGTTCGCGTATTCTAGTCTTACGAGTGGACAATTCCTAGAATGATAAAAATACGATAATAAATGTGTTTGGTAATACTTTCGCAGGACTTGTCGGTTCGTGCTAGGAACGTACTTGAGGCTGAGCCTGCCGTTCTAACTACTCAGCGCTTCCCTACAAACCGATAAAATCAATGTTTTCTCTAAGTCAAATACAGTCGTCGGTGTGGCGCAGCAGAGAAGTTATCTGCTTTAGAGACCTGGAGGCTGTGAGTTCACATCCTAGAGAGACAGGCATTTTTTTTTTTTTTTACTAATTTTTTTATTCGTTTTTTAGTCGTTTGCCTTTGCGATGCGCGCTTGTGTTAAGTGAAGGGAAAAAAGTAAAAATATGGGCGCAGACAGCATGATATGAAAAGATACGCCCAGCAAAGGCTGCAGAACGCTGGCAATGGCTGGCATCGAAGGACCCGGCGAAGGATCACTCAAAGCATCACTCAAAAGGTAGACCCAGTCTACCTATAGGGCAAAATGTGCTCCCAGAAGTCTGTCACGTGTCATCCCGTATACATACATATCCACAAGATTTGTCCTGACTTCGCGGGCCTTATGCAGTTATAATGCATAAGCCCGCAATAAATTAATGCGAAGATTTGATTTCTATACTTCTACAGTCTCTACAAATCAAAATAACAACAAAGGAGTTCATCAAGTGAATACCTTTGCGTGAATCAAGTCCGTTTGCACATTTAGAGATGGTTTAAGTTTTCTGATAAAAAGTGTCTCCTTAATTAGGCTATCAAATTTGTTCGAGCATTTAGTGAGTACATGAAATTGTTCTGAAAGACATTTCGTAGGTACTTTAATATTCGCTTACTTAGGTTTTAAAAAATCGTTATTGATCAAGATATATAATCTGAAATGATGTGAAGTTTATATGAAATAATTCATATATCCCGTTGAAGCCCTGATTTTTTTCAGGCTTCTTCTTTCCAATTGCTTAAATTGGAAAATTAACTGCGA